TCGCGCACACGCCCTACGCGCCCCGGCAATAACAAACCCGACTCCGCTACCTGCCCGGCTCCGTATACCAATCACACGCGAGGGTCTTGGGGTCAGGGGTCAGAGGGCAGGGGCGCCCACCGTGTGCTCACCGCCGATTGGCGGGGCACCTCTGAGCCGATTTAAAGGCCGTTTAAACAGCCACACGTATACGCGGACACCAGGCGCTACACTCTCCTCTTTACCGTAAATAACCGCGCATGGACGCGAATACAAAGCACGCTACCTTTCTCTTCACACTTACAAAGACCACACGACACAGTTTACTCTCTACTGGCGGCTTTATTCCCCGCGAATAACCTGCTAAACTACACGTGTTTGTGTGGGTCAGTAGACGCTAGCCTATCCCTCGGGGATCCTGGACTCAATTTATCCTGCCTATCGCTTCACTATCTGCTCTCGGTTGAATAGCCCAAACTCACCTTACTCCCAATACTTACGCTGGCTTCCAATCTGAGGTGCCGGAGGCTGTAGGAGGGCGATGCTGTGGGTCGTCTCTGTGGAGGATTGTGCCTGGCTGCGTTGAAGCTCGTCACACGGATGACTCGAACGGTCGGCTCCAACACTCCCTTGACTTCGATGACTTGAAGGACTCTAAAAACCTTAATGCCTGACTCCCCCTCCTCTTATCCTACCTATAACAAAGGCATTCCGATCCTGTCCCTCACTTGGCCTCCTGTCCAATCAAAGGCCTGGATTTTCCCGCCCTTTTGATATCCGGATCCCAGCCTGGTGACGTCGCCGCGGTGGTTCCTTGGGCGTCCGCTCTCCGTTCTTCCCGCTATCAGCCCACTGACTCGTGTTTGTGTGTGTGTGGTTCCACCCGCGGTGGCTCAACGGCCCCTGCCGTGACCACGCAACTTTAATATCAGGTCACGGCGCCGCGGTGCACGTCAGCCTCGGGGGTAGATCGCCCAATTTCCCGGCCGCAGGAAACCATGAAGCTTGATCCCATTAGGGGCTTCTGGATAAAAACCTGTCGGCCAGGTGGCCTTCCCTCCCGGCTCTATGTGGGGTATGCGTGTGTGGGGTGTGCGTGCATTCATGTGGGGGGCGGCGAGGGGCGAGCAGCGTCGGCGCCGTCACTCCCCGGCGGCGGCGCCACGGCGGTGGGCACGGCTCGGACGGAGCGGCTCCGCTGTGACGGCACCACACAATCAGGTGCGGAGACCAGAGCGGTGGGGGGGGGGTTAATTTGTTTATATAAATCAAAATGGATATTTATGATTGGTTTGGTGATTCACAGCTAATCAACTTCACTAATCGGCTGTGTCTGTGGCCGCGGGTTTAACGACACATATTTACGCGATTAACCCCCCAAAAAAACCTCGATTAATAATAACATTGATTGCGAAAGCCTACGTGTTAAATTGACATGCAGTTCTCCCCTCATCTGGTTTTGTGAAACATTCAATTGCTCACGATGTCTCCCACTGTTTAGGACCTCACAGGTGGCAACCGTATTTGCCTCTTGGCAAGGGGGGCAACTACCACCACGAGCAGTGGCCTAGAATGGGGATCCGTGCAGCGTGGAAGGCTGCTGGTGCTGTGTGAAAATGGAAACAGAAGGTGCCAGGCATGAGGTTTTTGTTTTTCTCAACGTGGTTCCGCGGTAGGCTTGCGGCACCCAAAGCACGTGCAGTCTTCTTCAGAGGTTCTTAAGGTTCGCAGCCTGTTCCAAGGACCGCCATATTATGAACATTTTAGAGGTATTGGTGGCCAATGATTTGTTTCATTCTCTCCAGGTTCATCCCGATCGTGCGACCGGTATCGTGTCATGAATAAATAAATCTTAATTTACATGGTGCACTTCACATCACTCGGGGCGTCTCAGAGTTCTTTACATAAAACGATAAGTTCACGAATGCCCAACGCTTTGAATATATCATATGCGAGACAATTTAGCTATCGAGTAAAAAAAAAAAGCAATCTACCCAAGGCAATATAATTTTTGTTAAAGAGATGTTGGCACGCCGGTCTTGAAAGCTCATATGAGTAGTCGTAGTCATCGTCATGAGAGGAGGAATCCGTTCGCAACTGTCGCAGACAAGTGCAGTCCTTCGTGTTCGACAAGTTTGATTTTGTTTGCATTGGGCCTCACAACAGCGAAGCCAAGGCAGCTCAGCGGTAGAGTGAGCGGCTCACAACAGGAGGGTTGCGAGGAGCGAGTCCAAATCCTCGTTGGGGAGGGTTGACTTAGACCATCATCACTCTGCACTCAATAAAATGGGTACCGCTTCGTGAGGAAGTCAGCAGCGGTTGTACTTTGGATATACTCACCCCCGCCATAGGAATGTGACATTCCCACCACCAGCTCAGGGCTGTACGCAGTAGACAATCAGCGCCTCGAGCGCATTACGGCAGGACAACACAGTGACGGGAAACAAGGATGATGCTTCGACGATGACAAACGCGGCGGGGGCTCTATCCTATGAATAGAAAGCCGATGTTGAAACTATTCTCAAAGACGCAGTGCACACGGAGATGAGGGAGGAGGGGGGGGGCTTAGTCGGATCTCCTTCCGTGAACGCGTTGGAGTGGACACGCACGAGCGGCTCATTGCAGCAGGGCATCAGTTTGACTGGAACAGGGATTATGCTTCGACGATGACAGACGCAGGCGGGCGGGGTTTGCTTCTCTCCTATGAATAGAGAGCCGATGTTCATACCATTCTCAAAGACGCAGTTCACATGGAGATGAGGGGTGGCGATGGTGGTGGGGGTGGGGGGCTAAGCCGTCCTCCTGCCACGAACGCGTTGGGGTGGGACGCACGCGCGTTTGCGGGCCCCAGCAGCCCGCGGGCGATGGAGTCCACGCGATTCCACAGAGTGGCCTGGACTCAAGGCGAGCTCTGGGTCACGCCTGTCACTGCACTACCCTTTTTAACAGCCCTCCCCCCCATCACTCCCACCCACCCCTCCCTCCCCCCCGGGCAGTGTTCGTTCTTCGCGTGCTGCGTTACTATTCCTATCGTCGTTATTACGTTGTCACACATTGTTAGCGCCGGGCAGCGGATTTAAGGGCAAGGCGACATTGTGGTCGATGCGTGGCGTGATTTTGAGCGGTGCATGGGTTAATGAAGGTGCGCAAGTGAAATCGTTAAAGTATGAGAGCTGAGAGTGATATTTATGTCTGGGTAAGTTGAGAGAAATGAATGCCATACACCAACATCCACGCTGTAATTTTGTTCTTTTTTTAATCCAGCAATTACGATAGTCACAACATTAATCATCATAACAAGAGATTTATATCAGACTGCAACAGCCAAGGGATGGAATGCGACCGAGTGGACCTCCACCACGGAGATGGAGTGATGAAATCAGTTCACGTGCAGTTGTTGGATGGATCGTTGCTATTGATTGATCACGAATGTTGATGCTGATGATGATACCATTTTCACTTTCCACCCAAAAAACCCGAACCATTATCCAGCTGAGTCACTAAAATTCATTGTGATAAGTAAACTAAAATGAATAAGCTCTCTGTGTGTGATTTTTTTCTTCATACTTAAGGAGTAACTTTAATAAGACACCATTCGCTTATTAGCTCAATTAATAACGCACACTAAACCGCACATATTTCACCCTCCTACCCCATACCTTAACATCGGTCCCAGGACACTGCCGATGACCCAGCGTGTCGTAACTCACAACGAATATGATGACCATCTAGGGTGAAAATCTGCAGCAAGGAGGCTTTGAATTGCATCTTGCGACAGTCGGTTATTACAAAAGTAGGAATCTACGAAGCCCCGACCGTTCCGAGTCAAATGGCACAGAAGTGTCCTCGTAAATTGTCTCAAAATTGTAAACAAAACTCGCCAGAATGCGAGCGTCTTTTCACTATTGAGAGATAGGGAGCATTTCAGACATTCACCACCCCCCCCCTTCCCTTCGGACCATTGCTCCACATGCCCTTTTCTGGATGCCTTTCTGGAACAGGAACACTCGAAGGGGGTAGTAGGTCAGTCGCTCTGGGTGTGTGTGGAGTGGGCCGGCAAGGTTGGGTTGGGTTTGTGGGAGGCAGCGTTGGAGGAGGGGGCGATTGTGGGGGTGGGGGGATTCATGAGCTTGCAGGGGGGGGGGGGGGGGGAGCAGACGAGACGGAAAGCAACACAGCTGCGGGGTAAAATTAGCAGCATCACGATGATTTTAATGACGCCATCAACAAAGACGTCAATTTTTGAGGTCACGCCACCACCATCATCATCAACACAGCGCTCGGAAACGGAACCCCAAAGAGAGAAGAAACATCGCCAACATTCCACCCCGCCCGACGGCAGAGTGCAGTGGTGCAGGAGCTTCACCGCTGCTCACGGGTACACCGGAGGGAGGAGAGAGTGGCGCTGCGTTTGGTAGGGTCAAGCGGCGGCGGCGGTGGTGGTGGGGGTTAGGAAGGACACATGCATTAACCTTTACTCATTCCTCCAGGCTCTTCGGACAGCTACCGTTTAAAGGTGGAGGGGATGGTGCCGGGGGGGGGGCATTCAAAAACTCAGGGGGTGGAGGGGGGGGCACAATAGGCCAATGACAACAAAGTTTAAACACCAAGTGCTAAACGCAAAAACGAACGAGTAACGACATCATTTGCATTTGTCTATATCGTGCTTTCTGTTCGAGCTCTCTCTCACACACACACACACACCTCCCCCGCCCCGTATATATGGGATAAAGGCAGCGATGCCCATCGGTTAATGGGGGATTGTTTTTTTGTATTTTGTCCACCCACCCCCACAACGACTGAGCACTCGGGTGTGCAGATTGGAAACTCATCTGTTTTTAGAACTGCTTTTTGTGATTCTTTTTTTGTCCCCCCCCTAACTCCCGGCACCTTCAATTAGCACAGTTGGCTACGTACGGTGCGAAAAAAGTTCAACATGCACACATACGCTACGGGGCTGTCTGTGGATGCGGTTGTACGCGCAACGTGCCAATATGAAAAATTCAAAACACCACAAAGAATGACATGAACGAATCTTCGTTTTAATTAAACATACCAATCACTACGTTCATACACATACACACATTGACAGAGCTGGCAAAACATTTTACTTTGAGAATCATGTTACAATTGCAAAACATTAATTCTCAACTCGATTTTGATATGATTATTCGTCCTTTCTCTTCACCCAATATCTCATAACAGTTAAGCTCGTATCTATTACACAAAACACAATGGTGCCACATTGAATGACAGCCTGAAATTACTCGAAAATACAACGATATTAATAAAAGATCCCTTGACACAAAACTCCCCATACATCTTTATAAGGCCATTGCAAATGTGTACAGTATCCGTTTGCTTATTTCTGATGCATTGCTATCGAACATCAATATCAACCTAACACACAAAGCACACACCCACACACAGTAAGGCATGTTCAACTTAAACTATGGATTTTGACGATGGAAATTTTTAATTGACGGAAAATATTTTTTTTTCGCTGAGCGCACCCAAAGAAGACAAAAAAAAATCGAGGCTTTCTCCTGACTTTTGAAAGCCAATTCATATTGTAAAAAAAAACGACTGGGTGTAAGCTCTCCTCCCCTCTTCGCACTGCTCATTGTGATGTTTTGATAAAGCTTCACCTTTGGTCCTCAAAACGGTCCAATAAATGCCACGCCATTTGTCATCCTAGCAACGTGTCCCATGTCGCACGTTTAACATGTGCAAGTGTATGGGGGGGGGGGTTCACTCCGGAAGAGCTCCTGTGACGTAAATAGCATGAGCTAGGATGGGATATACTTTGTTTTCTTACATGCTATTTATCAATCCACCTCTGGATGAAGGCTTCATCACGCCGTGTTGGTCATGAGGCTTGTTTTATACATACTTCATCACGCTGGTCAGCGCAGATTGCTGATGGGGGGGGCAAGACTCGTACATACTTCATCACGCTGGTCAGCGCAGATTGCTGATGGGGGGGGGGGGCAAGACTCGTTCAGATATCACTCGCCACAAAACATGAACTGTGCCTGGGAATTGAGCTCAGGTCGCCGGATTCCCCAAGCGAAGTGTGCCAATCCTTTGTTTACATTTCAGCAAATAAATGTTTTTAGAGGCATAGCCCAATGCTTCATGAATAAATATCATACCACCAACGCTTCAACAACAATATACAGTACAGTGTATATTAAAAGGACATATTCCACAAAAGAAAAAAAATCACATTTTGAATACGGATTTCAAATTAACGTGGTAAATGAGACCTCACAGAAATATCGCCTTTACCCGCTGCAACACGAACACGCGTGTATTTTTTTCTTTCTCCGTATGCATCCGCGGGTCTTTGTTGTAAGAGAAAAAAATGAAATAAAACAGGGCTTAGCGAGGCATGAAATGATTTTAAACTCCATTCTGAGGCATGATGAATAGTTGGCAGGGCATCGCAAAGCCAATTTCTCCTGATTGTTAGTAGTGCTGCCGGACATTAATTACATTGTCGCGGTCCCCGACGAGCAACACGCAGAGCCGTCAACGCCGCTGCCGCTCTGGTGGATGAGCTCGGGTAAGACTCGAAACTCACGTCAAAAAAACATACATAGCGGTGAGAATTGCAAATATTTGTTGAAGTCAAAATCCCCTGAGCGGCTGAGCCAGCTTGTATCCATATTGGAAACATCACCGAGCAATCTCTGTGTGGACACCCAAAGCCACCCACACTGTTAAGATATATCCGGTGAGTCATCATCTACAAAGTTGAGTGAGTATATCTTGTTTGCGCCTCTTCATGCCAATTTTGATTTAGGTTCAATCACCAATGGGGGCTCTCGCTATGGTGAAATAAGTGTTTAACCCCTCAGACAGGTTGAACAATGCATCCATCATTATGAGGGCTGGTGATATTAATTCTTGAAAGCCACATACGTTCAGGTGGATGATATAAAATAATGTAGTGTAGGTGCATCACCGAATGACCTTTTGTCATTGGATGGGACTATTTTAAAACGATGGTACTTGTTGTCATGAATTCCTGGGAATCCTACAAGAGGTGGAAATTCTTTACTTGTATGAGCTTAGCTTCCAAATGCGCATTTTATCAAAAACTTGGTCAAATAAAAGTCACAATTTTCACAGTTTTGTCTTTTGCAGATTGGTTTTATATATTTATTCCCCACTGATTTATTGATTGTGGTAACCTAAATTACCGCACCGTGACATACATCAAGTCCTGGAAAATTGCTCGTTAAGGCGGTGAAGTCAAGGGTAATGGTTCAGGGATAGGTGAACTGGGTTTAAACAAACGTAACCAAATACAAAACAATAATATAAGATGAGAGGGCTATATAATGCCCACCACAGAGTGAGGCCTCACAGGTGCTCTGATGGCACACACACGCGTGGGCACACACACACATGCTCGCACGCACACACACTCAGGTGCACTATATTTCATGCAGTTTGTCAAATAAAATTTAGGATTAAAAAAAAAAGTAAGCTCCTTGGAATTTTAGCACTCCCTAAAATAAAAGGGATCAATATTTTTATTTTTTTTCACACGGCAGACCTAAATTCATCTTGGTGTGTTTAAGTTATGGTTGAAGACTACAACAATGTTTTTACCACTGCACTGGCCGGAAATTAAGAAATGTAGGCACATCAGGGGTGGGTGACTTATTATATGAATTACGGTATAAACGGAAAAAGTTGTATTTTAGTATACTAAGGAGGATAAACCATATGACACATTGATACTTATGAAAAATTGCTTAAGTAATGCGTTCGCGATTTACTCTTTAATTTAAAGAGTGAAATTATACATTCTTATTGCTGATGAAATGCGAGTTCTAATTTTAATGGTTAATACAATCATTTTGACAAAGCACCCATCCCTAATTGCACGTTTGCTGCTGTGATTTATGTAAATCAAAGCAGTAAACATTTAACTGTATGGCAATGTGAGGTGCGTGTAAGTGACAGTGCCGTCTAGAAATTGACACATTTGAATAAAAATTGTTATGTTCAAGTAATAAAATTGTGCGATTAAATAATACAGAGCGGTAATTAATATTACGTCTGCTTTCACAGTGCAGGCACACGCAAACAAAAGTGCCACGTCATTGCAAATTGGAAATGTATTTCCTCCACATTCATGCCCTCGCAGATAAACGTGGGGGACTAATAACCTTTATTTAACATTACTTTATACACGCTATTGCATTTTGTCATAAAGCCAACATTTAGCTCATCCCAAATCTGCATTAAAACTTATCACCCATCTGTAGCCATGAACCCAGCTTCATTGTGGGAGGAGGTGCATAGCTGTGAATCCCACCTCTACGAAGGAATGGTCGCGTTTGCACTTCATGTCGTTGCATGGTGCACAGCAAAAGGTAGGTGGGTGGATTAGTTTTGGCTGCGAACCTCCTCCCAAAATAACGCCACATTGACAACTATGTACACGGAAACACTTACGTTCACAGACATAAACTTGATTTGAAAACATTTATTTACCACGTGACTCCAATTTCCACTCGACCGTTAAAGTGTAGCGACAGCGGGGTGGCGTGACAGGTTAAGCAAAGTTTGTACACATTCATCGCAAAAGCAACGCAGCACAACAACAGGAGTCCACTGCGATTTCACTCGTTGCGGACGTTGCAGGAGCCGCGTTTCGTGAAGTGTTTAAAACTCGGCGGTGCCCTGCTGCCGGTTCTTCGCAGCCGATCAAGATTTGGACAGGCCTCCGGAATATTGATGAACGCACCGTTTTGGTCCGTTGGGTTAGTTTGGCGAAAACCAAAAAAAAAGAGGGTCAGTTGTTGCCGAGTGCGTCTCCAAGATTGTGCTGTAAAACTCAAACGACGGCAACAAAGGTCTGCTGCTGCAAAAATGAACTAAAGGCATTTCGTGGTGACTCGGAGGCAGGGCGTCAGACATCGGTCTCGACGTTTCTGTTGATGCAGTTGTGGTTGAGCGGCGCGCAGTTGTTGGGCTTGAGGGGCATCTTCACCTTGAAGTCAACGTCGTTGCTCAGACCGTCGTCCATCTCCATGTATTCGGACCTGCTCATGGACGGGCTCCTGCTCTTTCTGCTCTCCTCCTGGTGCGAGCAGCTTGAGACGTGCAGGTAGTTCGCGTGCTCTTCGTTGTCCGTCTCGCGGTGGTAAAAGTAGTTGAAGTTGGAGACGATGACGGGCACGGGGAGGGCGATGGTGAGCACGCCGGCGATGGCGCACAGCGAGCCCACGATCTTGCCACCCACCGTCACGGGACGCATGTCGCCGTAGCCCACCGTCGTCATGGTTACGACGGCCCACCAGAAGGCGTCGGGGATGCTGCGGAACTCCGAGTTTTGGTGGTCGGCCTCGGCAAAGTATACGGCGCTGGAGAAGAGGATGACGCCGATGAAGAGGAAAAATATGAGAAGGCCCAGCTCTCTCATGCTCGCCTTCAAAGTCTGGCCCAGAATCTGCAAGCCCTTGGAGTGCCTGGACAGCTTGAATATCCGGAACACTCGCACCAGCCGGATCACCCTCAAAATCGCCAGTGACATGGCCTGCTGGCCACTCCCTTGGTGCTTGGCCATCTCGGTGCCAAGGGTAATGAAGTAGGGCAGAATGGCCACGATGTCAATGATGTTCATGATGCTTTTGAAAAATCCTGGTTTGCTGGGGCACGCAAAAAACCTCACCAGCAGTTCAAAGGAAAACCAAATGATGCAAATGGTTTCCACAATAAAAAATGGATCAGTGAAAGAGCTGCCATGCATAATTTTTACCTGTGTGCCATTGATGTCCTTTGCTGGGAGAAATTTCTGTTCCTTCTCGTCCCTGAATTCAGGCAGAGTCTCGAGGCAGAATATGATGATGGAGATGAGAATGACCAGTACGGAAACGATGGCAATTCCCCTGGCCGGGTTGGAGCTCTCGGGGTATTCGAACAGCAGCCACACCTGCCGCTGGAACTCGTCCGACGGCAGCGGCTTCTCCTCCTCCTTGATGAAGCCCTCGTCTTCCTGGAACTTGGCCATGGCCTCGTTGCCGAGCTCGTAGAACTTGATCTCCTCGCTGAACACGTCGATGGAGACGTTGACCGGGCGCCTTAGCCGCCCGCCGGACTGGTAGTAGTAGAGGATGGCGTCGAAGCTTGGCCGGTTTCTGTCGAAGAAGTACTCGTTGCGCAGTGGGTCGAAGTAGCGCGACCTCTTGCTGGGGTTGCCCAGGAGGGTGTCCGGGAATTGGTCGAGCGACTTGAGCTGCGTCTCGAAGCGCAGTCCCGACACGTTGATGACGATCCTCTCGCAGTACTCGTGTGTCAGCGGCTCTGCCGTCTCGGGGCCATCTTCAAGCAACGCCGCGTCGTCCATGGCGTTTGGACAACCGTGCGGGGGTCAGGCTGGCAGGCGGCAGATTTCAACAAAAAATGATAGCAGATAAAAAGCCACGTGGAATTAAAAATACGTAGAAAATCAGTGGCAGCGCAGAAATTAAATAGTATGCTTCGTATAAGTAAGAGTGTGTGGTTGTAAATATTTTAGTAGGTAATGGTGATTTTAACGATGGTGTTGGCTGGAGTTGTAATGTCATTGTCGAATTTCCACAATTTTAACGACGATGTCACAATTCATTTCTGTTTAATGGCAGGCGATTACAAATTAGTGAGGGCAGGCGATTACAAATTTGCAAATTTCATTTGATTTTACATTGCATGGTCATTCAATGTATAGTAATGCAATGCATCCTGAACATCTTTCATACCGTACGTAGCCAACCGTGCCAATCGGAGGTGTTAATCGGAGGGTAATACTGTAATAGCATGCGTCTTGACAATATACGAATGAGATTCAATCACCCTCCACCACCCAGGAAACACACCCCTCGACAATGGCACATGCTCCTCCGTTGTATGATTACTGTTGCCCTTGCTATCATTAATGGGTAATCAGCGCCAGGGCAGATGAGCCGATTTATCCGAATTATCGGGTCAAATGTAACCTGTTTACTTTTTCCATTCTCGTGATTGTGACCTCGTTTGCATGAACTCGGCTTGCAAAATGAATCCTCATTCATTGAATTTGGTGGCCTGGTCTAGGGGGAGTTCTCCAGATAAATTTACATTCAGATTAGCTGCTTCTTAAGTGGACAACTGCACGTGTAATGCTAGCATGTCATTGCAAAACGTATCACATGATTAAAAAAAAATCCCAAAAGGCAAGTGATAAACAATGGTTATTATACCTCAAAAGCTAAAGCAGGTTGGCCTGGTTAGTACTCTGGTAGCAAACTGCCTGAGTATACAGTACAGTACTAGGTACTTGGTGTTCTCGGCTTGGGCCGTGCAGTGGCCAAGCTCTGTGCAGAGCTTGGAGTATCACCTTCTCGCACGCATCGGTCTCGTGAATTTAAAAAAATGGCCTGGCGATAGCGCATTCCCCAATTGTTGCAGCGGATCACGGTTCGAAGCCAGTGGCCGCCCTGATTAATACTACAGTGTGTACTAACCGTACCAATACTCCAATTCGCACGGTTGGCTACATACGGTGCAAATGTTCAACCTACATCCATACCATACTGTACTATGTGCCGTCTGCTTCACAGTGGACGTTATGAGTCCCGTGACGTCATTCGCAAGAGTAAAACTATAAAAACTTTAAACTACGTTATATTTCACCAGGTAAGGCCCATTGACCTGGCTATCACAAATGATATCTCAACGAAGTGGCTTATCACATGGAAATTTACAGCAGCCAAATACTAGAAACGAATGTTGATTCTAACGTGGAGGGAAAAACCGGAGGACCCGGAGAGAAAAAAAACACGAAAACACGTGAAAATAGACATGCAAACTCCAAATATACAGGCGTCAGGGTCGGGATCGATCCCTCGGCTCCTGTATACCAGGCGAGGTAGTCAACATCTCGCCACAACGGTGCTCAGTAGGCTACTGCGTGCCGGCGTTATGGTCAAACTTTGCCAAATTTGAAATGCCAGCAGATTACTTAATTAGAATATACAAATCAAAAATTGCCCCCAACTGCATAAACTTGCTAGCACCCTCCTGAAAGTCATGAGACTCAGTGAGACCTTCCTGGGTAAACAAGCATAATAGTCTCAGTGTAGGATCCTCCTAATTAAGAGGCTGATAACTCAGTGAGGCTTTGCTACGATGGGCACCAGTAACGCGATTTCACTCAGTTGCTGCTTAGCAAGCGAGTGGAGGGAACGCGATAGTGTAGTTTAATGATAAGCTCACCACCCTACGAATCTGGCTACCCCATTTCGAATCCCGCTCACGACCGACAACACCAGTGACGATTATATGAAACCGTCCTAGGCGTCCTCCTAGGTCGACTCAGCCTCAAATGGGAACCTGGCGCGGTGTGTAAACATCGCGACTGGGGAGACAAAGGCGGTGCGGCGTGTAACGGTGGACACCCACCCGCTCGTGTGCCGTGCCGGCCTTCATATGTGCTCGCGAACAGCACTTGCCCCCGACAGTCTAAGTAAGGGTATCGCTGTCTTGCGTCAAAGCCGGTCACGAAAGGGCACTGGTATTTCTTAAGCGGGCAGAAAACTTGTGAAACGCCTTAACGGACAACGATTTGATTGCAATCGTTGGGGGAAAACGTCACGCGCGTGTGCGCACCGCATAACGCACGCGCGTGTGCGCACCGCATAACGCACGCGCGTGTGCGCACACAGCCGTGTACATCACGCGTGTCCAGCCCTTGTCCTATGGAGCGGCTCACCCTCGCCAATAGAATGCGGAATGTATTTTGTTGTCGCTGGCACCAAAACAAAGCGTTTCAATAAGCGTCGTCTCGCGCGCGCTCCTTTGAATAGGCGAACTGCTGTTGGGTTTTAATATATTTTTTTAAACCGTTATATGCAATAACGAATCGAGTAAGACAGCGAGAAAAAAATCGGCACGTTTTGTCAACAGCCACCTCCCTCCCAAAAAAAAAAATGGAAAAGCGCATGCAACCTGTTTGAATGATTTATTTATATATTACAGTGAATGTCATAAAAGGCGTGTGTCGTGCACACCGCGCCGTACCAAGGGCGATCCAGTTGCAGACACCCCACTATAATAATTCGGATAAATAATGGGGGGCGGGAAATCCCTACATGCTATTTAAAACCCTCTATACGTTTCAACGCACTTATTACATGTTAACACTTTGCTCTGTAAGGCATGGAAGCTGTTACTTCCACAACATTCAAGCAAGCACCTTCTGAGATTAAAGCGAGTCACATTTTGAAAGCAGCGGGGTCTCCGCAAATGCATTGCATCCCAGGATACAAGCACGTGTTTTGTGTACAGACACTTCAAACTCACCAGTTCTGTCGCCGACTCCGTCTCGCCGACTAACATCCGACTTGTCTTCACCATAACGCACGAAGCGCCGCTTGTCGTACATGCCCTCCCCGCCGTCCGCCGCCAATGAACAAGGAAAAGCAAACGCAACAATATCACTGTGCACGCGCACACGGCAAATAAGCGCCTAAGTCGAAATAGCGTCCGGGATTCGCTTAGAATTTATGCACATGAGAAAATTGGGACCAAAAATAACAGCTTGAGAGCTGACGAAAGAGGGACCAAAATGTATACGGATGCGACACCAGTGAGCAAAGATGATGGTGGTGGTGGTGGCGGTGATAATGATGATGATGATAGTGGTGGTGGTGATGGTGATGATGATGGCGATGCACCAGATGGGTCTCTATTAGCAGGCGTCCCAGTGCTCGCTACATCTCTGGCGCTCTTCGCCACGGAATATAACCCTTGACACAGCTCACGGATGGATGGTTGTATGGGGGGATGTGAGGGGGGGTACGGGGAGACGGGGAGGGGAGATGAGTGGGGTGGTGCCTGGGGAGATGGAGGGACGTCGTTGCATAGGACACGGATGGAAAGGAATACACACTGAATACTCTACTGTAATATCACGTTTTGGGTTTTGTTTTTATTGAGTATATAAACTTAGTAAATCGCAGGATCGTTCTATGTATGCATTCGCATGACATCCTGGACACTCTTGGAAACGAGGTGTTCCAACTCCAGGTAAAATATATTCATTAATTGATGAGATGGCAGAGGCTTGCAGAAGAGGTCTTCATCCAGAAGTGGATTGAGCAAGGCTAATGATGACAAAAAAAACACTCGAAGTAATGCGCACATTATACGGCATGTGAAATTATTGAACCATTGGAATTAACTGATTTGAAATGTCTGGAAGATGTTTTTTCTTAATGATTGCTATTACGCGTTATATATTTTTTAACAAACTAAATTTAAAATTTTGTTATTTTTTTCATCCTGTAGTTTGTTTTTCTGCACTGAAATATGTTTGTCCCCTTCTTAATTTGTATCGCAGCTCTTCCTTTTAAAATAGTATTTTATCTCAATGTGTACTCGTCTGGTTGTAAATGTATTTCATTGGTATACATAGGGTGAGCAGGAAGTCCCTATACTGTATCTCTATGGGTCCAGATGATCAGTTTAAGATAGGGGCGGAGGGACTTTCCACCCACGCTGTATGTAAACAATTCAGGGGACCTGGAAAATAATTTATCTTTTTGTATACCTAGAGAAAATGTTATCAAATAAAGAGGTGAGGGAGAACAGGTTTGAGTGCTTTTTGAAAAAATGCAATTTGATAATCAAAGGCAACATACCAAAGTATAAAATGGTCCAATCATTAACTCTAACAGAAAATGGAACAAAAACACATACAGATGCTGGGAGAAATGCAGCTTTGAATTACACCCAGAGACAGAAAAAGGAACACGTGACTCAAAAACAAAATGGAAATTAGGAACATCATGTCGACTGTTAAGAAAAGCAAGATGCTTTGAGTATTAGACATTGCTGAGAGGGATGAATGGCCGATGGCTAAGACTGGTGACAGAATGGCAGCCAAAGGCGAGAACGCAACTGAGATGATGGTCACCACAGAGATGAGATCAGCTCATCAGCAGGAGCGGGATGAATTCTGGCATTGTAAGACCATGAGAATTGTCTTCAGTCTGGGAAGGTCTTTCATATTTTCTGTGATAAAGGGGTTGTTCAATAACTTGTAATTTTATGCACCTTCTGTGTTCATAATTACTTCAAGCTCAGGCATGTATGTTGTCTATCCTTCGATCATAAGAAAAAAAAACACGCTTGTTCATAGATAAGTTATTGTAAGTAAACAGTCGAGCACCATATTCTTAGTTTTTTCGGTAAAGTCACGTTGAAGAGAAACAACAAAATAATAAAATATATATTAAAATAAAAATGTTATTATATTTAAAATATATATATTTTATTATTTTGTTGTTTCTCTTCAACGTGACTTTACCGAAAAAACTAAGAATATGAATTACTGCAGTCACGAAAGCTTTAAATCAAAATTTAGTCGAGCACCAGTTGCACAATTCTAAAAAGACGACAAACGCTGAAAATAGTATATTTCACCACGTGGCACACGTACTGTAACCACAATTGAAGGGTATACTTTCCAAATTAAAACTTAATAAACGTAAAAAACTCGTCCATAAAGTAGGATCTGATAAAAAGTTAATAACTTAAGTGGATGAAATGTGAAGATTATACAAAACCATCGAGGGTAGATTGCCAATGAAATGGAACCATTGTGAGTTCACTACAATAGGCGATTGTTTTCTCAAGCCACGTCGAGTAGAAGGACCTCCACTAGAGGGGGCCCTAGAGAGCCTCTCTATAGGGCATGTTGGCCTACTCTTCCACACTGGTCATACAACTTGAAATAGGTGGGACTACCCATACTTTAACACAACCACTTACGACGTGCCCACAAAACTGCCCGTGGTGTTGTATGTTATATAATTATTTATTCGGAACACCCATGAAAACATCTCACCAAAAGGTTATTGGTAGTTTTGGGAGTTGGACGCCCGTCTTCTATGAATAAGGATGGTCGCATTGTAGCTCGTCGCTTCCTTTGCAGAAAACCAATGGAACTTGCGCCACCTTGTGTCCACGGTTCAAATGCGCATGCTTGGAATCGAGGGACAGAAATAGAACGCATAGATTCTGGAACATACGCGGGCTAATGACATTCGAACTGTTTACAAAAAAAAGTGTGTTTAAAGCATGGCACGTGGCGAGGTGTGATGATGCATACCTGTCAACCCATATGGTTTGCCCGTAGTCTTCCACAGGGAAATTGGGTTTGCAGGTCCATTCATACGGCGTACAGCCGTTTGTGATGGGACTTTGTAGGATGAACGTTGCTATTTATAAGGGCATTGGGTGACCAATAAGGTCTGAATTGACCTGTAATAAGGTAGGCACTGATAAGGGGTTGTCATGTATGATGATGCCAGGTGGTCAGGAAATTATGATAGAGTGGCAGCCAATCAATACATGTCGCGCGTGCGTTAGCTTTGCAACTGTGGAGATGAAGCGATGGAATCAGATCGCTTTTGAAGGGTGCCGGTTGGATTATTACACGGCTGGATCGTGAGAGATAGCGGTGGCTCGGGGTCGCCTTCATCCAGCCGTGGGTTGACCTTGGCTGATGATAATTATTCTCGAGGGATGTAGGAGGGGTTTCCTGTGAGCTAACCGCGCGGTGTAAGAATGTCCCACAGTAATTGTCGCCCTCTCGTGCTGAATGTGTGTATGCAGCGCTGCTGGCGGCTACGTAATTCAACGGGCATGCAAAGATTACTGTTGTAAGCATGTAAAAATGCATTATTATTTCAATGTATATTAATAGAATTGTGTGTGTAAGACTCAATTATGCTGGTTCCATGCGCACTTCATGCGTTGTGTTTTTTTTTCTTTCGAATTTGGGATAATTAGAACGAGAAAGTATCGACAATAAATGAGGCAGTATTGATTGAGAAGACCAAAGGTAACGCAAACAATAGCAAGCAAACAAAGGATACAGTTTGAGCAGGACAAACTTGATGCAAAGATGACAGTATAAACAAGTCAGACATAACGGGACAGAACGAACGAGATACATGAAGTAACGAACTAAACAGGCATTACAAACAGTTTAAACAATGATAACGACACATTACAGTTTAACAATATCCACAATAGATGTTGGTTTTTGTTTGATCGCGTAAATATGTGTTGTTAAACCCGCCACCACCCGACACGGAGAATCAGTAAAGTTTTTCACGTAAACAGAACGTGGCAATTCATTACTAGTACAGCACACCGGTGTGTTGGTGAGTACATCCACGACTTAAAGCTTTCGTGACTGCAGGAATTCATATTATTGGGTCTTTCGGTAAAGTCACGTAGAAATGGTTAAAAAATAATAATCATCATCAAAAATAACAACAGAAAACTACGACGTTTCGCTCGCAACGCAAGCGGTTGTTTATTTGAACCGTTCTACGTGACTTTACCGAAAGACCCAAGAATATACATCCACAACATTGACAATTAGAGAACACAGTACAGAACAACGAATATAACATTTTACTAGATATTGAACGTAGTAGTCAAGACGCAAAATGCGAGAGTAGGTGGTGGGAGTGAATTCGCGACTCGCCTGCAATTCACGCGATCATAATTTTACATTGAGAAGAGTGAAAGCCCTTTGGATTTACTGTGGTGTCATATTCCATTTGCACAAAAAAACATTTGGTTGGCCAATGGCTGTTGATGATATAATTACACGTATATTCGTATACTTTATTTATAACCGGGTGAAGGCCCGTTGAGAGCACAGGCGTGCTTTTCAAGAGACGAGGGTTTAAACAAGGATAAGCGCATGAAGCATAAATCTAAAATGAAGATAATGGCAGTCACTACATTTCCAACACATTTTTTATGATCAGTCATAAATATAATCAGCAATGGATTGACAAAGGGCTGTAAATTACTATCATAAATACAAAGACTTGCAATAGATCAATACGAGAGACAAACCCGATGGTGGGTGTGCTCATCAGGATATTGTTATCAGAAACACGTGCACTCAATATTGAATAATTAATGACATTTTCCAACTTTTTTATCAGTATTATTGTTACAAATTTTCTAATACAAAGGATAGTTGGATTTATTAACGGCTGGTACACAAACCATACGCAGCAAATATGAATACACTTTAAACCCAATGTACAGAGGTAACAAAACAAAAATCGTGACAGGGAAAAAAAGCTTACAAAGGGATCCCACTGCGTAGTTTGGCGATCCACTCAATGTCTTCCTGAGATGCGAAGAGGATAAATGAAGTGTCCCCCGCAATAGATCCTAGTGGGCAGGTTGATGCGATATCGTCCACGGTCTGAGACTCATGGCCACAGTCGCACTAAGAGTCATCTCTCATTTTCCACTTGTGAAGCGAGAGGCCGCATCGGCTGGTACACAAACCATATGCAGTGCTGCCAACTGTGGCTGCAGATTTTTTTGGTCGTACGTTGTTATGTATATCGTTTATTGTTAAATTTAAAATCACAGTTCCTATGATTACTGTTGTTACATTGTTTTTATAGCTTTATTTTGGTGATTCGAAAACATATGGTTAATCTAAATTGTCTTATGGTTGTTGTTGTTGGCTTGCAAATTGATTTTTGCACACAGCCTTTTAATACGTTTTTTTTGTGTGTGGAATATTTGCTGGTTTATTCCAGGATGGTTCTGTTACGCGTTGTCGCTTTAAGATGTTCAAATTTTGTTTGTTGCACCCGACTTAAGAGCCGCATGGCTCACAGGGCTATACCTAATAAACGAAACTTGAAACTTGAATGTCCTGTGCGCATTCGGTTGAGAGCTGTCCACTGTGTTGGTGGGAGATTGAAGCCAGGGATCGATGCTGTTCGGTCAGTGGTGAG